AAATCATAGCTCTCAAAAAAGACCAAAAAAAAGAAAGAAAGAAAGAAAGAAAGAAAGAAAGAAAGAAAGAAAGAAAGAAAGAACTACATAGCCTTACATGCTAGGATTGTAGGCACGACCCTCCATGCCTGGCTTATGTGTAATAATCTTATTAAGTGACCAACTGTCAACAGCCATGACAGTCTGGACTTGGGTCTCTGGGTGCTGCACAGCACCTGGAGGATATCTTATACAGGGAAAGTGCTCAGTGAAGACCCAAGGGTTTACTAGCATCTACACCTCAAGGTGTCTTCTGCCCAGCTACTAGAGCTGTCAGCCCTTCACTATCCAAAGCTAAATCATCTTGTGTTCAACACAGCAAAGGACAGGTTCCCAGTCCCCAAGGGCTACCTGCAGAATGATGTCATAGAGCCGGATCAGGTCCTGGGGCCTGGGGGAACGCTTGCTGTCATCTTCTGGCTGCTGCTGCAGCAGAGCCTTATGCAGGCCTTTAGCCATGTTCTCATTCCTCTTGATGGCTGTCGACAGCTTGATGTAGGTCAGGTAGCTGGAATGTACCATATGCCAGCTCAGGTTATGCTCAAGGAAGCTGATGTCCTGGGAGGAGTACTGGGTTGAGTTGGCACTGACCTAGGGAGCTGTGGGGTGAGGGTGTGTCACACAGCAGGGTTACCTAGCCCAGATCTCAGGCTACGGGGTCTGCAATCTGGTAACAGCTCAGTGGCAAATTTGCAGGGGACCAGAATGAACCCTAATCACAAAAAATGAACTCAGCTTGAACAATATCCTATGTGCTCCTTTCCCAAGAGCTACAGGGCTTCCAGTTTCAGAAGACACTGCTAGTTCTCAAGAGTATCCATGGGTAGAAGCCAGTTTCTGGATAGAGAACAAGTCAGCTTCTGGGCTCGTGCTCAAGGGCAGTGTGCTCTCATTACAGCGGTCCACCCTCACCAACAACCTTCTCAGAAATGCCACAGCACAATCCATCTGATGGTCACTATACTCTAGTCACACTAGCTATTATTAACTAACACCACAGTGCTGGCTAGTTTGAACTGCACCACCTGGCAAGTCCCTTTAGTTTGGGGAAAAAGCATGGTACCTCCTTAGGAAGCATCCAGGCTTCTTGTCCCCGACCCTACCCTGGCTGGAGGCTAGCCCGAGAGGATGCAAAGAAGGCCCATGGTCAGGGTCGAGGCCAGCAGGGGTCAAGGCTCCATAATGAACATGGGAACCAAGTGTGGGGTGTTGACCCTGGCCTTTTCTATTCAGCTTCCAGAACAAGAGCACTTTGGTGTGTTGCAGGGAATCTGGCCCGCTCAAGAGAAGAGAGGGGACACAACAATAACAACAACAAACCGTTCCTAAGAAAGAAGAGGCCAAGCTGGGTGTGGTGGCACACATCTGCAATCAGGAGGCTGAGGCAGGAAGACGAACTATCCCAGGTGGGCTATGTGCAAAAACCAAACAAACATACACACAAATAAAAAAAAGGAAAGAATACAAACAAGCTCTGGGATGGAATGACAAATGAGAAAGCACGGGAAAGACCAGCTCAGTGCAGCACATGCAGAGCAGGGAGACCAGGGCTAGACTGGAGTGTCATCAAAGTGAACCAATCCCAGATCAAGAAGAGCAACACACACATCATTGTGAGAGATGACAGAGGTAAACAAGGACTGTTAATATAGTAGAAAACAGCTGCTTTTAAGAAATAGCAGAGAGGTGAGCCGGGCGTGGTGGTGTACACCTTTAATCCCAGCACTTGGGAGGCAGAGGCAGGTGGCTCTCTATGAGATCAAGGCCAGCTTGGTCTACACAGCAAGTTCCAGGCCAGCTGGGGCTATAGGGAGACTCCCATCTCAAAAGAAAAAAAAAGAAAGAAAGAAAGAAGAGAGGGGCTAGAGAAATGGCACATGGCTCAACTGTTAAGAGCACCAGCTGTTCTGGCAGAAAATCTGGCTTCAAATCCCAGCACCTACATGGCACTAACAACCATCTGTACCACCAGTTCCAGGGGACCTGATGCCCTCTGTGCCCTTCTGACCTCTGTGGGCACTGCATGACACAGGTGCACTTATGTACATGCAGGCAGTACATTCACACATATAAAATAGAATAAAATTTAAAAAATTTATGACAGATTGTTTCATTGAGTATAGTAGTCTGGGTTGTCAGCTGTGGTCTTTCAGAACTTGAATAGATAGATAGATAGATAGATAGATTTCTTTTTTGTCTTTTTGAGACAGGGTCTCCTTGTAGCCCCAGCTGTCCTGGAACTTACTATGTAGACCAGGCTGGCCTCTAACTCACAAAGATCTGCTTGCCTCTGCCTCCCAAGTGCTGGAACTACAGGCGTGCACCACCACGTGAGGACGGATTTTATATTTTAAAAGATACAAACGGGCTGGAGAGATGGCTCTGTGGTTAAGAACACTGACTGTTCTTGCAAGAAGACTGGGTTTGAATCCCAGCACCCACATGGCAGCTAACAACTTTCTGTAACTCCAGTTCCAAGGGATCTGACAGTCTATTCTGTCCTCCATGGGCACTGCAGGACATGGGCTCACTTACCTACATGCAGGCAATACATGCATATACATAAAAATAATAAATAAAAGCCAAGCGTGGTGGCACACGCCTTTAATCCCAGCACTCAGGAGACAGAGGCAGGAGGATCTCTGCAAGTTCAAGGCCAGCATGGTCTACATAGTGAGTTCTAGGACAGCTGGGGCTACAGGGAGACCCTGTCTCAAAAAAACCAAAAAAAAAAAAAAAGAAAAAAGAAAAGAAAAAATTAAATAAATATAAATAAATAAAATGCATCTTAGCTGGATGTGGTGGTGCCTATCTTTACTCCCAGCACTCGGGAGGCAGAGGCAGGTGGACCTCTATGAGTTCAAGGCCAGCCTGGTCTATATAGCTAGGCCAGCCAGGGCTACATAGTGAGATTCTGTCTCCAAACTACATACATACACACACACACACACACACACACACACACACACGAATGAAAGAGCAAAAGGGGCCCGGCATGATGGGTCATGCCTTTAATCCCAGCACTTGGGAGGCTGAGATGGGAGGACTCCTGATAGTTAGAGGCCAGTCTGGGCTACAGAGCAAGTTCCAGGCCAGGAAAGCCTACATACAATCCTGTCTCTAAAAAGGAAAAAAGCAACAGTAAAAACCAGTGGAGACACAAGACAACTACGGAGGGATGTTTTCCACTGCTGAGCTGTAGTCATGGAGAACTGTAGAGACTCCCTGAACCCAGACAAGAGTAGACAACACAGTGCAACAAACAGACAGATACCCAGAGAGAGCACACGAGGTGCTGCAGACTGCGGACAGGACAGGGTGGCTGACTGACCGGAAAAAGTGAGGCAAAGCACAGCTTACAAAAAAAGAGTTGCAAGCGGAATTAAAACTGAGTTCAAATTAAACTTAAAATGTGAAAGTGACAACTTCAAAATGTTCATAGCAGACAGAAGGACGGCAGTTAGCTCCACAAGGGAGGTGGCGCGAGACAAGGGAGCGGTCACAGTAGCTTTAAAGTTACTGGCTGAGGCTAGGTATAGTGGCTCACACCTGAAATCCCACATTTCTGGAGGCTGAGGCAAGAGGATCCCTAAGCGTCTGAGGCCAGCTACAGAGAGATCCTACATACAAAATAAAAAGAAAAGCGATGGGCTGAGTTGGTAAAGGCACTTGCTGTGTAAGCCTGGCGACCTGAGTTGATTCTTGGAACCCATGTAAAAGTGGAAGGGGAGAAGTGACTGCACATCATTGTCCTCTGACCTGCACACATGTGCTGTGACTACCCCCAGCACTCATCACATATGCACACACAGTAATAAAATTAAAAAAAAAAAAACAACCAAAAAGGACCCCCTCCAGGCTAAAATAAAACCAAAAAATTACAAAGCAAACAAAGATACACTGCCCTTAGGCAGCAGACACCAATAGAGCAGGTCAGCATTCAGAAAGCAATGAAGGGTTCCGAGTTAGAAAAAAAAAGATACTGGGGTAGAAAAAGGCCTTGCTGGACATAGTAGCACACACCTTTAATCCTGTGAGTTTGAGGCCAGTATGGTCTGCATAGTGAGCTCCAGGCTAACCATGGCTACATAGTGAGACCATGTCTCAAAAAAACACAAAAAACCTACAATACTGGTTGTGTTCCAGCTTTTAAGCTGTGTAAAAAAATTGTATCATATATAATATACAAACAAGGGCCAGTGTGATAGTTCACTGGGTTTAGGTGCTTGCAGTTGACACCTGAGTTTGAATCTCTGGTCCCACATGTTGGAAGGAGAGAACCAATCAACAATTCATCTTCTGACCTCCACATGAGCACTCTGACATATATGCCTCTACATCACAAAATAAATAGAATTTTAAATTTATTGTCTTAAAAAATAGCAATATGCACCGGGTGTGGGTGCACACCTTTAATTCCAGCACTCAGGAGACAGAGGCAGGCGGATCTCTGTGCGTTCAAGGCCAGCCTGGTCTACACAGTGAGTTCCAGGACAGCTGGGGCTACAGGGAGACCCTGTCTCAAAAAGAACCCCCCCCCCCAAATAGTAATATGCAGTTACACACACAGTCATCTAAGATACACCTGCATCCATGAATATACCTTTTTATGTGTTAAGAAATTACAAATTCCAATGTACATAAACATTATATGTATGCTCTTGTTCCAATGATGTATCTCACAACATTAAAAAGTAAAGTAACCCTTACCTGTGCAGGTACTGGAGATTGGACACCTTCCCTGACTCTCCTTCCAGGGTGTAATCTCTCTGTTTCTGAAGAAAGTAGAGAAAAGTAAAAAGGAAACCTCTCTGCCATGGTTCTCACTACGCCCTTAAACTGCTGTGGTGCTTCAGGTGCTCTAGTAAGTGCGGAACCCTGAGAAATCACAGATGTGCAAACACAGTGCACAGTGACATGGTTGCCCAGTTGCCGTTGGCATCCAAAAACCAACCTTGAGTATACAACATGGCCAGCTGGGGCTTCCTGTCCTCAGCTCCCAGTGTCTCGCCCCAAACATTACAACGAGGTGATCCTGCCAGCTGTGGGGACATAAAACTGCAATCCTAGGATCCTAACACCGAGGACAGTCTGGGAAACAGGGAGACCCTGTCTTAAAATTTAAAAAAAAAAAAAAAAAAAAAAAAAAAAGACTAAAAAACCCACTGAGGATACAGCTAGTTCAGCCTAGAACAAGACTTGCCTAGAATGCACCAGGCCCTGGGTTGTGTGTAGAACCACAAAACAAAAACCAGAAGAGCATTCCAGTCCTCAGAGTCTGCTTTAGACCCAAATTCTACTGCTCCTGCGTGCCCTGTGCTCTCACAGCTTGCCATTTTTTTGAGACAGGGTCTCCTGTGTAGCGCTGGCTGGCCTAAACTTCCCAGATCAGTCTCAAACACAGAGATCCACCTGCCTCTGCCTCCTGAGTGATGGGATTAAATAAAGGCGTGAACCATCACACCATGATTACAGCTTGTTGTTTTGTGGATGGCTGAGTAACAGGCCCCTAAATCATCCATATCCTGACCCCTAGCATCTGTGATTTTATGAGACACAGTAAAAGAGACTGGTACTGTGATTGTCCTTGGATTACCATACTTAGAAGAGGGAAGCAGAGAGTCAGCAAGATAGTTCAATGGATAAAGGCATCAGCCACCAAGCCTGTTGACCTGAGTTCTACCCCAAGTCCCACATGGCGTAAAGAGAGAATCAACTCCCACAAGTTGTTCCCTTTCTCCCACATGCACTCCATGGTACACATGCATGTGCACACACATACACACAGATAAATAAAATGTAATAAAATTAAAAAAAAGTTAGTGATGGAGATGTAGGGTCTAGAGGGGAGAAGGAAGGCACGAGTTGCTGGCTCTGAAACAGAGGAGCCCCTGCCCCAGGGATATAGGTGGTTTCGGGGGCCACAAAAAGAAATCTTTTTTTGGGGGGGGGTCTCCCTGTAGCCCCACCTGGCCTGGAACTTGCTATGTAGACCAGGCCAGACTTGAACTCCCAGAGATCTGCCTGCCTCTGCCTCCTGAGTGCTGGGACTAAAGGTGTGTGCCACCAGGTCTGGCTGAAAGGAATTCTTTGGCACACCAAAGATTAGAACAGAGCAGTCATTTTAAACGTTTGACCTCCTAAGTATAGGATAATAAATTTGTGTTGTTTTAAAGCCTGAATTTAAGGTAAGCTAGGCAAGGGGCACATAGCTGTAATTCTAGCACGTGTGAGGCTAAGGCAGAAAGCCTGCAAGTTCAAGGTCAGGCTGGCTACACAGCAAGTTCCAGGCCAACTCTGGCTTCAGAGTGAGTCCCTGATTCAAAACTAAAAACTATATAGTGAGACTGTTAAAAAAAAAAAGAACGGAAGGAGGGAGGGAGGGAAAAGGGGAGGAAGGAGGGAAGATGGCCACACTAGCAGAGCAGAAGGAACAAAGATGCCTATGAGTGACATCTGTTCATTCTGTGGCATCTCCCTAACCGCTGTGAACTAGGTGAGGGCAGGAAGCTGTGGGTATCTGTTAAGTGGATGAAGGGAGCATAATATGTGGTGGCAGCTTTTTGGACACTTTGTCAAGGTACCATGGCACCTGCTGAAAAACACATACTTAAGTTACCGTTTAAGAATACCAAGTTTCGGGGCTGGAGAGTTGGCTCAGCGGTTAAGAGCACTGACTGCTCTTGCAGAGGACCCACAAGGCGGCTATGAACCGTCCTTAACTCCAGTGCCAGGGGAATCTGATGCCCTCTTCTGACCTCTGAGGCATTGCACAACACAGGTGCACTCACATACATGCAGGCAGTACATTCATACACATAAAATAAAAATGATAAATATATTTAAGAAAAAAAAGAATACCAAGTTTCAGAGGTTTTTTTTTTTTTTCGGTCTTTTTGAGACAGGGTCTCCCTGCAGCCCCAGCTGGCCTGGAACTCACTAGACCAGGTTGGCCTTGATCTCACAGAGGTCTTCGTGCCTCTTTGTGTACTACCACATCCGGCCCAAGTTTCAGTTTTATAAGTTAAAAGAGTTCTGAAGATAGATGATGGTGATGGCTGAACATTATAAATATATTTGCTACCACTAAAATATATAAGTAAAGACAGATGATAAATTTTGCTATGTATATTGCAAATAACAGCTGTATGTATTTGGCATGTACCTATACTCTGAGCTACTAGGGAGGCTGAAGCAGGAGGACTGAAAGTTTGGGGTCAGCCAGGAAAACTTACTGAGACTTTGCCTCAAATAAAATTTTGAGGAAAATTAAAAAGAAAAAGCAAAAAAAAGGCCTGGACATGGTGGCACATGTCTTACCTAATCCCAGCACCCAGGAGGCAAAAGGATCTCTGTGAGTTCCAGGCCAGCCTGGTCTACATAAAATTCTAGGTCAGTCAGGGATACACAGTAAGATCCTGTCTCAAACAAACAAACAAACCCCAAAACAAAACACAACAACAAACTAAAAAAACTACAACAAATGAAAATAAAACAGGGTATAAGAAAGTTTTGAACCTGATGGTGCCCAGAGGCCTTTACTGCTTATTAACTGACCACACCTACAAACACCCCAGTGTCCTCTTGCAGTGACCCCTAAGAACACACCTGACAGGACAAATTTGGGAGGATCTGAGCCCAAGGTAGGAGCCGGGGGTCAGCAGATGGACCTACCTGATCGGGCTTGAGCTCTTCCCGAACGGCCTGGAGGGCGTCCCGGCACTCACTGAGCACAGACTCAAACAGACGCTCCTTTGTTTCTTCACTCTCAGCCTACACAGAGGTAAAATGGAAGAGGCTGTTTTGAGTAAACTGGAAGCGTTCTATTCTAACTGAAGGAAGGAGCCATCTGAGGCTCCCACCACATCTGCACATTCGCCTGCCCCCAGAGACCCTTTTATTGTCACTCTGCAGTTGTAGATCTTTCTCTCCATCATCCCCATGGTAAGGGCAGCTACTCTCGGAGTGAGTACCCTGAATGAAGCCAGAAGTCATGTCTGTAAGTAATCTCCAAGTACCAGGGCCCTGGGGCTCTAACAGTCTTCCCACCATAGAGCTTTCCCTTCCCTTCCTCTACCATTCTGTCTCTGCTCAGGGCCAGCACCTAGTTCCCTGCAGGGGCCCTAGACATACCAATTCCTTCCCTTCTTTGCTGTTGGGCTCTGTTACATGTCAACAGAACTGTCCTTTACAACTATGAGTCAATTTAGCTGGGCATGGTGGCACACGCCTTTAATCCCAGCACTTGGGAGGCAGAGGCAGGTGGATCTCTGTGAGTTCGAGCCAGCCTGGTCTACACAGTGAATTCTAGGTCAGCTGGGCTACAGGGAGACCCTGTCTCAAAAAGATCAAAAAGAAAACAAAAAACAAAAACAACTATGAGTCAATTTGCAATTCCTGAATCTCTTTTAAGTTCAAGCCAGTGACAGATGTTACTCATCAATACCCTACCATAAGGATATTTCTTTTAAACATCTAAGTTCTCTTTTCTACAGACTATCTAGAAACAAGTTTTGGGACAGAAAAAGTTGACAAGAATGAGGTGACAGTATTTGTAAAAGAACTGGGTGCCACCTGCTGCGATAGCTGGGGTAAGTGGAAAAGTGATTCGTTAACTGAATACCTGCCACACCACATCGCCACCCTAAAGAACCTGGCTGAGCAGGTGGGAACGCGCCAGCAGGAGAAAGGAAAGAACCCATGGTGCTGGCAGCACTCAAAGGAGAACACCAACATTCCGTGCTTATGTTTGACTCTCCACAGAACTAACAGCCAATCTGAAAAAAATGTCAACATCTCTGAGAAGCACAAAGCAAGCCCAGAATTCCCACGCCTCTAAGGAGCTCTGAGAAAAACTACTTTTCAGAATGTCTATGTGTTCCCTAGTTTCTAGTGTGAAAATCTCTGTAAATTGCCCAATCTAAGTCAAACACACTCTTCCACTTATTAGTAACTTGACTTCCCTGCCACTCATGAACTTGAGAACAATCAGGGCCATGCCATCCTGTATCTCTAAGGCAACAAGGTACCATCACTGTTACAGCAGTGTCTTCTAACAGGCGCAGAATGGAAATGCACTCTATCTGCACTGTCCAACACAGTGGATGTCAGCCATATGTGTCTGCTACTGCGCACTTGAGGTCCATGAAAATTAGATGGAAATAGCCAAACATGTCAAGGGGCCACATACTACATAGTGTAACTCTAATGGAAAACACAGAGCACTGCTAAGCACCTCAAACTGGCAAAAGCACGTCATTTAGTCAAACTTGCTGACCAAAAACTGCAAGTACAACTTCTATGGAATTGTGCACTCATGACACTCAGCTAGAGTAAGATACATGAACACAATCCCTTTGGCACCATAAAGGAACAAACAGCCAATCACACATGTACCACGGCCACGTTATCAGCAGAAGAATCACCCCAGCATCAGTTTGAACCCATGTAATCCCACAAATAGGCCACCAACACCTATTTCAGATGTGGGGCAGGAGTGGGGGCAGTGGGGGGGGGGCTGTTTGGGCAATGGGCATATAAGAATAAGCTTTGACTTCTAGCTACATAAATCTCTCTTTCCTATGGGTAGGGGATGTTCAAACTTAAAAATGAAAATGATGCTAGAATGCCAACCTCTTTACTGCCTTTGCTTAGACAGACCCCTTGGCATCAGGATGCTGAAGATGAGAAACCTTCCCCACTCCCACATAATTCTAAATTTTACAGAGGGTTTACTAAGATATGCAACAACAACGAAGTTGAAAAAGTCTGAAAGGGAGGACGCCCTGACAACCCACACCGCTCAGTGACTCAGAGACCACTGGTATCTGAGAACCTGTTATGCTACTTCCTGCCTGGGGCAAAATCTTCCCAAACAGGAAGCCTTCATATATTTTACTGCTCACATTTATTCTACGACCTGTATTTGATGCCAAGATGACTCCAGAGGACAGTGGAACAGACACACCTCTCAGCATGTAGAGGCAGGACTCTGCTCTTTGTATGCAGCCCTCCACTTGCTGCTGAGCCAACAGGGACGTGTTCTAAACACAAGTGGCAAACTCCCTGCATAAGAATGTGCGGTCTGGCTGGACCTTGTTCCCAAGGTATGCCCATGGCACAGGATCTGAAGCCTAGAAATAATGCACTACTTACAGGTCTTAATCAGTAAATTTTACATGCCTTTTTATGAAGCTCAAAACAGCAGGTGTGCCTCAGGTTCTCTTTGTAAGCAAGGCCCCAGGCCACCTGTAGGGAGCACACTGGCTGCTGTGTGCCCTGCTGTTAAAGACAGATTCCCAGATTGTTTTCACTTGCTGATAGAAATTATTGGACGATGATGGTGTGACTAAGAGACACAGGAGGCAAGCCGGGCCACATTCCCCACCACACCCATAGCAGAGCTGTGGGGACAGGAATTAAGCTTCACCCAGCCCTGAGAGGTTACAAAGAAAGAAACGAAGAATCTGGTGGGTATAAGCCTCCCTTAAGAACAGATTTTCTTTTTCTTTTTTGTTAAATTTAATTTTTATTATTTTATTTTAAAAAATTTTTCACGCCAGGCATTGTGGAACACGCCTTTAATACTAGCACTTGGGACGCAGAGACAGACCAAAAAGACCAAAAAAATTTTGTGTATGTTTTCCCTACAGTTCCTTTGGAACTAGAGTTATGGATGGTTGTTAGCTGCTATGTGGGTACTGGGAAACAAATCCAGGTCCTCTGCAAGAACAGCCAGAGCTCTTAACCACTGAGCCATCTCTTAGTCCCTGGATTTCCTTTTTTCAAAGAAAAGAGTAAATGGTCCCCCTTTTCTCAGACGTCAAAAAACCAGAGCTGGGAGACTAGCAAGATTGCTCGGCAAGTAAAGGCACTGACTGCTGACCCTGGTGACCCAAGCTCTACCCCACGTAGTGGAAGGCAAGAACCAGCTTTGCCTTTCTGTGAGTTGTCCTCTGAGCTCTACTTGTGTGCCCTGGCATGCTATCTCCCCAAACCCCACAATAAATAAATTTAAAGTATAATAATAAGTTAAATTAACAAAAACGAAAACAAGTACACGTTTCAGAATGCAGGAGGGGAAATCATCAAGCTTGCAAATATTTAAAACTTAGCTCCCAAAAAGAGCTGCCTAAAAGTAACCTCACACCACAACTACCAGTGACTCCTCAGGGCTGCTCAAGTATTAAGAATGTAAACTTGGGGGGCTGGAGAGATGGTTCAGCGGTTAAGAGCGCTGACTGCTCTTACAGAGGACCCAGGTTCGATTCCCAGCACCCACTTGGCAGCTACAAACCGTCTGTAACTCCAGTTCCAGAGGAATCCAAAGCCCTCTTCTGACCTCCACGGCATTGCACGACACAGGTGCACTCATATACATAAAGGCAATACACCCATACACATAAAATAAAAATAATAAAGAAAATATTTTTTTAAAAAAGTGTAAACTTGGGGCTAGAGTGGTTAAGAGCACTGGCTACTCTTGCAGAGGACCTGGGTCTGGTTCCCAGCACCCACATGGTTGCTAACAACTGTCTATAACTCCAGTTCCAGGAGATGTGATGCCTTCTTCTGACCTCAGCAGTCACTGCACGACAGGGGTGCACTTACATACATACAGGCAATACACTCATACACATAAAGTAAAAAGAAAGTTTTGGGGTTTTTTTGTTCTTTTTGAGACAGGGTCTCCCTGTAGCCCCAGCTGTCCTGGAACTCACTATGTAGACCAGGCTGGCCTTGAACTCACAGAGAACCGCCTGCCTCTGCCTGGGATTAAAGGTGTGCGCCACCATGCCAGGCCGAAAGTTTTTTTTTTTTTTCAATATTTTATTATTTTAATTTTATGTGTATGAGTGTGTTGCCTGCATGTATGTGAGTGCAGCTGTGTCCTGCAGTGCCACAGAGGTCAGAAGAGGGCTTCAGATTCCCCTGGAACTGGAGTTAAGGACGGTTCGTAGCCGTCATGTGGGTGCTGGGAATTGAACCTGGGTCCTCTGCAAGAGCAGTCAGTGCTCTTAACCACTGAGCCATCTCTCCAGACCCAAAAGTATTTTTTTTAAAGAATATGAAGTTAGTAGAAAGGTTAGTAGTATTAGGATGACACAAGCCACTCTGAAAACACTAAGAACTACACAATTAGATTTTGGCAGCTCGTTAACTTCCAGCTCATGCTTTTCAGTTGAGTATTTTATTTCCCCGAATTATTTCTTCCTTCCACACTTTTCAATAACTGTTTCAATATTTAAACATCATGAAAACCTCTATGAACAGGGAATTAGCTGGGGCCACCAAAATGGCACTCTATCTCCTAGAGTGGCAGGTACCAATACCAACTGGGATGGGACACTGAAAGGAAGCAGCTTGCTTCTCACAACCAGAGCTCTTGGTTCCCAAGATGGAGAACAACATAAGGAGACCTGTCCACACAGCCATTTATAGCCAGTCTAATAACCCAACAAGGGCACCAAGAAGAGGGTGAGTGCCTCTTCTTGAGATGGGCCTCACTTGGCTAAAGGCTATTTCCCTACATTTAATGACCCATGGACCATTAACAGATGCTTAGTCAGCAACAGTTCTAGATCTGACATCTAAGGATTTTACTAAACTTTAACACTGTAGTTATATTACTTTCTGGCTTGATTTGGTTTATATGTGAAAAAGATCATTAGAGTCAAAATTTAACTGCTTTCTTTTATGTTGGTTTTGGTTCAGGGCTCACAGCTTAGTCCAGGCTGACCCATGACTTTCCACACCCAGCTGCAAAACTGTTTTTTTGAGACAGGGTCCCCCTCTGGCCCCAGCTGGTCTAGAACTCTCCACATAGACCAAGTAGGTCTTGGTCTCACAGAGATCCACCTGCCTCTGTCTTCCGAGTGTTGGGATTAAAGGTATGTACCATGACACGTGGCCAAAAATTCTTAAATATGTCAACAAATCAAATGCAGCAATATATGAAAAGTACACTATATCATGACCAAGGGTCGCTCTAGATTTGAAAGGTTAGTTAACACTGAAAACCTGCCAATGTAATTCATAGTATTAACAGGTTTCTAGTGTTCCTCCCTGTTTGCCTTTGTCTTTCCAAAGAACAATTTCCAACTATCCTTACACCATTTCTTCCAATTCTTTGTTTTTGCATAACTTCCAAACCCTCCAGTTTATCTTCTAGAAGAACAATTAAAAATGTGTACAATTTAGAAAATTTAGCTCAGTCCATGAAGTGCTTGCAGATCAGGAGTTCAAGGTTATCTTCAGCTATATAGTGAGTCTGAAGCTACCTTGTTACATCATACCTTGTCTCAAAGTTTAAAAAAACCAAGAGGGAGCTGGGCATGGTAGTGCATGCCTGTAGTCCCAGCACTTGGGAGGCAGAGGCAGGTGGATCTTTGTGAGTTCAAGGCCAGCCTGGTCTACACAGTGAGTTCCAGGACAGCTGGGGCTACAGGGAGGCCCTGTCTCAAAAAGACCAAAAAAAAACCCCAAAAAAACCAAGAGGCTCAGTGGGAAAAGGTGCTTGCCACCAAGCCTAATGACCTGAGGTTAATGCCTGCTTTTTGGTCCTTTTGTAACAGGGTCTCCTTGTAGCCCCAGCTGGGCTGGAACTCACTACTGAGACCAGGCTACTCTTGAATTCACAGAGATCCTCCTGCCTCTACTTCCCAAGTGCTGGGAACAAAAATTTTTTGAAGATGTATAAGCAAACCATTAAAATTATTTAAAAACAACTGGGCATGGTGACACATGCCTTTAGTCCCAGCACTCAGGAAGCAGGCAGATCTCTGTGAGTTCAAGGCCAGCCTTTACATTCTTTATTCTCCTCCAAGTTTTAGAGCAGGTGACTTAAAAGCTTTAAAGCAATTAACTCTATATACTCAGAAAAAAAAGATCAAACCTACACTTTTAAAAAACTATAAATTCGCCGGGCGTGGTGGCACGTGCCTTTAATCCCAGTACTCAGGAGGCAGGGGCAGGCGGGTCTCTGTGAGTTCAAGGCCAGCCTGGTCTACATAGTGAGTTCCAGGACAGCTGGGGCTACAGGGAGATCCTGTCTCAAAAAGACCAAAAGAAAAATAAACAAACTTAGTGTTCTTGATATGAGAAGTCTATTCTCAATAGTAATTTTAAACATGAAAAAGGGTTGAAGGCAGCTCAGTGGCAGAACGCTTGAGGACCTGGGTCTGATCCCCAGCACAGAAAAACCAAACCAAAGTCAAAACCAACCAAACCAAACCTCTTCACCTAGGCAAAGCTTTGCTGCATCATCACTTCGAGTGTTGAAGCTATGCGGAATGCAAATGTCCAATAACAGCCCCACTTTAACAGGTACTTAAAGACACATACTTGATATTATCTATGTGCATGAGATGGACAGTAAGTATTTATCTAATTATATAAACACACACCTAAACTAATGATTAGATGGATGACTTAACATGTTTGACTAGATTCTTAGTAAAGTTTGGAAAACTGTCGGCTTATTTTTTTCTTCCTAGTATCCAAATTTTGGTCAGTCCTGAACTGCCTTTTTAAAAAAAATCTTTGTATTTTTCTGGTGCTAGAGCTGGGGCCTCAAGCCAGGGAAGCCCAAGCACTACCAATGAGCCCTAAACTGTCTTGGCAGTGGCTAGGACTGGTCTTCTACACACAAGTCAAGCCTCTGAATCATACAAAAACTCCAGCTTGAGAGGGTTCTTTAAAAAATGTGCATGAAGCTGGGTGTGGTGGCGCATGCCTTTAATCCCAGCACTTGAGAGGCAGAGGCAGGCAGATCTCTGTGAGTTCAAGGCCAGCCTGGTCTACATAGTGAGTTCCAGGGCAGCTGGGGCTACAGGGAGACCCTGTCTCAAAAAGAACAAAAAAAGAAAAAAAAAAAAAAGGCATGAAAAAGGGGCTAAGGGTAGAGCTCAGTGGTAGAGCACATGCTTAGTACATGCAAGGTCTCGGGTTCAATTCCTAGCACCAAAACAATATACATGAGTGTGCACCCCACATCCACAAAATAAAAGTAATAAAATAAGTTTCTCAGTCTTCTAGTTTAAGAAAACATTAACAAGGGCTGGAGAGATGGCTCAGCAGTTAAGGGCACTGTCTGTTCTTCCAGGGGACCTGGGTTCAGTTCCCAGTACCCATGTGGCAGCTAACAACTGTCTGTAACTCCAGTTCCAGGGGACCCAAAGCCCACTTTTGGCCTCTGAGGGCACTGTACATGGGTGCACTTATGTACATGCAGGCAAAACACTCATACACATAAGATAAAAAATAAATCTATAAAAGAAAAAAACTAACTCTCTAGTACTGTTCTATTATTCTGTCCTTTAAGCACACAAAAGGAAAACAGGACAGCAATATGTAACCCAGAGAAGGACACGACATAAATAGTCTTCAGTTGCTAAAAGCTGCCTCCAACCCAAAGCGGCCACTGGGGAACAAGTGGCTGAAAAGTCTGGGTGCTTAACCTGAGTTATCAATCAATACAGTTAACAGAGCAACGCTCCACGTCCCATCCATGAATAATCTGGAGCACAACTGATAACTGTGAATTCTCAGAAACTTCCGACCCACAGAGAGACCACGGTCAGCAGCCTTGCTGTTTTGAAGATGCTCTTCACCTCCCGCAGAGCCTTAAAAGCTCTAATCACTGTGCCTCACAAACCAACATCTCTAGGATCTCTTATCTTTGGGGCTGCATCTGGTTGTTCATAGCCACAGACAGGTAATTATGTTAGTAAGCAGCTTCAAGTACAGCTTAACATGAACATTACACATATACCACACACAAAACAAGATATTCTGGTTTATCCAGGCTCTCCTGAAATGGCCAGGAATGAGAGGTGAGCCTTCAGGACTAGGAGGTGAGGCCAGCAGGTCAGAGACCCCAGGAAGCTACAGGATGCTGCACCACCTGCTGGCCAACCTTACATTAAACCAGCCTTTCAAAGCTCATTTTTCCCTTTGATGACTGTCACTTTGAAATTCTCTACCCTATAAATATAACTCCCCTATACACTTGGGTTTTCACAATTAATTTTATTCAAGAGCACCTCTCTAGACTTACCAATTCCCAAATAGCATTAACATAAATTCATTTTTTTGTGAGAAACCAGCACCCCCAAGACAACCTTCAGAGAGAGGAGCAAGCCTGGAGTGCTGCCCCTTACCTGGACAATAGCTGCTTCGTTGTCAGCCAGTCCCAATAGAAAGATCCTCACTTTGTCGATCTTCACTGGAACGGTTCTTCCTCTCCACTCCACTTCACTCATGGTCGCTGCCTGCTTGGCTCGGGTCTGAGTGATCAATGCCTGAAATGTGGTTTAAGGAGTTAAAGTTTTGGCAGTGGATGGAAACGAGGATGAACTGCGTCACTGACCAGCCGTCTCTATTGCACAGCAGACCCCTCAGAGCAGACAACACTTCTATTTTCAAATCCCTCCCTGGTGTTACGCAGATTAGCTTACGGAAAATCAAATATTTTTTTCCTAGTATTTTACATTTCTTAGTTTTTCTATGAACCTCTATTATCTGCTTAGGGTAAAAAGAAATGGGAAAGAAAAAAAAGGTTGCCAGGTGTGGCGGCCCGTTCTCCCAGCACTTGTAAGGCTGAGGGAGGCTCTATGTATTCAAAACCAGTGTAGGTTACAAAATGAGCCTAAACACACATACACACCAGATAAATACTGAAATATTTAGGGAAGTGTTCTTTGTTGTTAAAAATGTACACATTGGGGCTGGAGAGATGGCACAGCAGTTAGGAGAACTGGCTGCTCTTACAGCACCCACATGGCGGCTAACAACCATTTCTAACTCCAGTTCTGGGGGATCCGATCCCCTCTTCTGACCTCTGAGGACACTGCACAACATGGGTGCACCTACATACATACAGGCAACACATTTGTACACATAAAAAAAAAAAATTAAAAGAAGGCCGGGCATAGTGGTGCACGCCTTTAATCCCAGCACTCAGGAGGCAGAGGCAGGCTGATCTCTGTGAGTTCAAGGCCAGCCTGGTCTGGTCTACATAGTTCCAGGACAGCTGGGGCTACAGGGAGACCCTGTCTCAAAAAGACCAAAAAAAAAAAATCAAAATATTAAAAAAAAATAAGCAAAACATATTTTTTAAATGTAGACATTAGCTGGGCATGCACACCTTTAATCTCAGCACTAGGGAGGAAAAGGCAGGTGATCTCTGTGATCAACCTAATCTAGTGGTGGTGCACGCCTTTAGTCTGTTGAGATCAAGGCCAAGCTTGGTATCCATAGTGAGTTCCACACCAGCTCTGGCTACAGAGAAACCAAAAAAAAAGTAGGCCTAGCTATAAATATGCATTTACTAACTATAAATATTGTCAGGGGATGAGTTATTACTTCTGGACTTTTTCAGACCACGCTTTTCACAAATATGTACGCCCTAGAATTACCTCCAGTTTTTCAGCAAGGAGACCCTCTGTGCCCCCAGATCTCAATCTCATCTGCATGAGTTCATTAATAGCTGACTGGTCCCCTGAGAGACAGAGAAAGAGAGAGGAGTCTTTAAGGGTTTGTGTGCTTTCCTGACAGCCACTCAATTCAGCTGAGGTGATCTGACAGTTCTTCCCCTCCACTGAAGTGTGATCCATACCAGGATCAGTCTACAGCAGTAGTCTGAAGATAAGTCCTTCAAAGAATGAGAACTGCAGCTCTGAAAACACTGGGACAATGGTGGACACATTGTTATATTGGTCTAAATTCTCAAAGAGCTCAATGTCAAGAGTGAACTGGGGCTGGAGAGATGGCTCAGTGATTAAGAGCACTGACTACTCTTGCAGAGGACCTGGGTTCAATTCCCAGTACCCACATGGTAGCTAACAATACTCTGAAACTCCAGTTCTAGGTGATCCAATGCCCTATTCTGGCCTTCGCAGGCACTGTATGACATGGGTACACTGATACACATGCAGGCAAAACATTCATACACCTAAAATTTTTTAAAAGACTTGTTAAGTCAAGAAAGTAAGTTACATAAGCCTTCTAGTAAACCATGTCAAGTCAAGAACACTGCCTCAGTGCCTGCTCACCAATGTTATATGCACAGTAGCGGATGTTGGGCGAGATCTCTTCCACGCGCTGGTTATACAGCACAGCCTGCTCCTCTGTGAATGCACTGGCCAGTTTCTCGTAGATAGTTCTAGGAGCAAAAACATCAGACATTACGGCAGCCTTATTTTAAGTAAATTAACTCATAAGGACCACATGGCCAAAACCAAAACATGACCCTCCAAAGGCCTTTTGTTGACTACCAGATTAGCATGTTCCAAAGACAAAAGAAAATAAATCATTTCTATAGGGAAAAACAAACTTGTAACTTTCACAGAAAAACAGCAATGGTGGGTCTGCAGCCAGAGCACGGCTGTCACTGAAAGCAGCGCTGCTTAGGAGACAAGGACATACTTGCACTTGTTGAAAGCCTCGATGGCAGCTTTCCACTCCTGATGTTCAAAGCGCAACATTCCTGAGAGGTAAGCTGTGTACGCCTGTAAGGGATGGAAGAGAGCTGCTGGGTAAGAGGTCTCTATGTCTACCTTCCCTTGTTTATCTGTTGCCAAGGAAGGAGCCCAGAGCCTGGTTCATGCCAGCTGAGCTAGATCCCTAGCCCGAGAGAGCCGCTTAAATGAGAAGAATCAATGTTCCAGCTCCACATTTCCCTAACTCTAACAGTGGCCTGGAACCCACTCTGTAGACTAGGCTAGCCTTGAACTCAGAGATCCACAGGCCTCTGCCTTTCGAGTGCTGGGATTAAAGGCGTGTGCCACAACACCAGGTAAATATTTTTTTTAAAGTTCAATGCTGCCAAGTATGGTACTGTACCCCTTAAAATCCCAACACTCAAGAGGCTGAGGCAGGAGGAGCATGAATTTGACACCAGCCTGGGCTACAGAGCAAAGCCCTGTCCTCTTCATAGCCTGGAGCCCCTCTACCAGGAAAGCTGAGGATATGCTTATATTCTCAGCACTTGGGAGACAGAGACAGGACAAACAGGAGTAAGTTCAGCATTGGCTATAAAGTAGTTCAAGGTCATCCTGGATTAATGTCTTGTCTCAGAAAAACAAAATAAATAAATAAAATAAAAATGAAATAAAATTAAAGAAAAGTTGACTATCATCTCTAAAATTCGTACTTTATCAAGAGCCAGAGAGATGATCAGGGGTTAAGAGCACTGGCTGCTCCTGCAGAAGACCCAGGTTCAGTTCCCAGCACCCACACACAGCTAACCACCATCTGAAACTCCAGTTCTAGGAGATCCGATGCCATCTCCTGGCCTCTGTTGGCAACTGCACACATGTGATACATACTCGCAGGCAAAATGCTCATACATATAAAATAAAAATAAATTTAAAAAACTTTAAAATACGCTTTATGAACTTTCCTATACAGGAAAAGAAACTTGACCTTTATCAAGATTAGAGCAAATTTAGAAAATCTGAGCGCTAGGCTGGAGATGGCTCAGTGGTTAATAGCATTTACTGCTCTTGCAGAGGATCTGGGTTTGAGTCCCAGCACCCATATGGCAGCTCACAGCCACCTGTAACTCAGTTCCAGGGGATCCGAAGCTTCCACACACACCTTCACACATGTAGTACACATAAACTCATGCAGGGACACACTCATACACATAAATAAAAATAAATCAATAAAAAAACCACTAAGAGCTGAAGAATAAGAGACACTAACTTCACCTTTTAAAAGCAAGGTTGGAGCAGGGACGTAGCTGTGCTAGAGCACTCCCTAGCAGAGGAGGTCCTGAGTACATCCCAGAACCGTCAATCTACAACATAAGAAACTGCTCTGTTTAACTGTAGCCGTTTTTGAATTCACATCGCTAATCTCCACAATAAAGTACAGCTGGGTGTTAAGACAGTGACCTGCGCCTCTAGCTTGGTCTTGGCATCCACACGGTTACTCTCACACAAGCGTTCCAGTTCCTCAGCATGCTTCACGGCTTTTCGAAGACGAGATAGCAAGTGAAACCGTTTTCTGGGTTCAGTGTTGGCTTCCTGTTTGAGCTGCATGGCATAGCTCCAAGCTCTCTCCGCATCCATCAGAACCAACAGCAAGTATCTACACCAGAGAGGAAGGAGAGTGAACAGGGGCCAGGAGCATCAGGATCACAAGCATTCCGAGGAGCATGTCCTGCCTCTCAGCTTTCCTCCATCTTCCCTTCTGTCCCCACCTCAGGACCCTTTCTCTCATAACACAATTCCAAAATCAGCATCTCTGATCCCAACTTGACTGAGGCTCCTAAACACATCTCACTGGCAAGTCTCTACCACCTTGAATTTGGCCAGCCCAGGATTGGAACTTCCCTTCCAATCCAGTTAGAAACCAAGTGCTGGGCTGGAGAGATGGCTCAGTGGTTAAGAACACTGGTTGTTCTTCCAGAAGACCCAGGTTCGAATCCTAACACCCACATGGCAGCTAAAAACTGTCCAGTCCCAGGGGATCTGACAGCCTCTTCTGACCTCCGCAGGCACTGCATGGCAGGGGCGCAGTTACCTACATGCAGGCAATACACAAATACACATAAAATAAAAATAAGCCAAGCGTGGTGGCGCTTGCCTGTAGTCTCAGCACTTGGGAGGCAGAGGCAGGCGGATCTCTGTGAGTTCAAGGCTAGCCTGGTCTACACAGTGAGTTCCAGGTCAGCTGGGGCTACAGGGAGACCCCGTCTCAAAAAGACCAAAAATAAAAATAAATAAAAATAAAAAATAAATAAGAAAAAGAAACCAAGTGCTTAAGTGGCAGGACGTTGTGCTAGGTGTGGTGCTCACTGGTACCCAGCACTTAGGAGGCTGAGGCAGGAGGATTTTAAGTTCCAGGAGAGGAAACAAAGAGGCAGTGTGTTGAAGAGTGATGAACGAAGGCACTAGAGCCTGGGCTGGAATCCCAATGCCTGTCAGCTGTGTGACTCTAGGCAAAGTACTAGCTTTCCTGTACCCTGCTCTGCCTTAAGGTAATACGCCCAACACAGGACACAGCTGCTAGCACTTCCTATGGGATCAGTAATCTAAATCCTTTATCATTATAAATTATGGACTGATTAATCTTTTTTTTTTTTAATTAATGGGGATTGAATTTAAAGTTAATCACACATGGTAGGCAAGCACTCTAAAACTGAGCTATGTCCCCAACTCTCTTTTATTTACTTATTTACTTTTTATTTTGCAATAGGATCTCAATAAGTTGCCCAGGCTGGCCTTTAACTCACTCTATAGCCTAGCCCAGGCTGGCCTGGAAACTCAGTTCATCCTGCTTCAACTCCCAAATAACTAGGATTATAAGCCTGTTCTAAAACAGGTCCAGCTGGCTAATCTTTTTTTTTTTTTTTTTTGGTCTTTTCCTGTAGCCCCAGCTGTCCTGGAACTCACTCTGTAGACCAGGCTGGCCTTGAACTCATAGAGATCCGCCTGCCTCTGCCTCCCAAGTGCTGGGATTAAAGGCGTGTGCCTCCACGCCCTGCATGGCTAATCTTTTTTAAACTTTGATTTAACTTTATCGATCAAAAAGAAAAAGATTTGGGGGCTGGAGAGATGGCTGTGTGGTTAAGAGGCTGCCCTTGCAAAGGACCTGAGTTCAGTTCCCAGCATCCACATGGTGGCTGACAGTCATTCTAACTCCAGTTCCAGGGGATCTGATGTCCTCTTTTGGCCTCTGTGTGCATTGCACATGGGGGGGGGGGACAGGATGGGGGGACGACATATGGGACGGACAACTTACATACATACAAGCAAAACACTCATACACATAAAAATAAATTTTTTAGGCTGGAGAGATGGCTTAGTGGTTAAGAACACTGGTTGTTTATGCAGAAGACCTGGGTTCAAATCCCAGCACCCACATGGCAGCTAACAACTGTTTGAAACTCCAGTTCCAGGCAGAGGATCCGACAGCCTTTTCTGACCTCTGCAGGCATTGAGTGACACAGTGCACTTATTTACATGCAGGCAATACACGCATACACAGATAAAATAATAAATAAAATTAAAATAAAAATTTTTTAAATTTCTGACTTTTTAGCTGGGCGTGGTGGCGCACACCTGTAGTTCCAGCACTTGGGAGGCAGAGGCAGGCGGATCTCTGTGAATTCAAGGCCAGCCTGGTCTACATAGTGAGTTCCAGGACAGCTGGACAAAAAGACAAAAAAAAAAAATTTCTGACTTTTTGAAAAAATTACACATTACACTTTATTCAAGGGCAAACAATATTACATGTTATAAGAAAGAAATGATCTAGGTAATTTTGACAGTATTTCCTTTAAAACCCATCAGTTTTTCAATGGCAGTCATTTCTTTTCTTTCTAAATAGGGAGGTAGAGTGGCCATCTATCATGTATGGCCCCCAGTGGGGAGTGGTCACATGCCAGCAAAGTGTGAAGAATTGCTATCCCAGGTTTACTGTGGACTTCTGGGTGGGATAATTTTTGACTCTTAACTGGACCTCATCAGATCTACTCTTTGCCTTGCCCGATTCTATCACTGTCCGCACCAAGCTCCTCACTCCCCAGGCAGTAGTTCCATACCCAGAGCTCTGGTTCCTACACCACCTCCAGTCACACCTGGCATGCAGCTTCCCCTCACAGGAAGCTCTTCCCTCTTGCAAGTCCTTTAAGGCAGGAGTACTGCTTTCCCCATCAAGCACTCCCATGCTAAGTTCTCCTTTCCAAGACTTCAGAACACTTAACAGTGCTCTGATTTGCATCTGACTAGAGCTCTTAGCAAGAGCACAGTCAACAAGAGCCATGCCTCTTGTCTTCCATATCCAGCATGGCCTCTAGCTCCACCTTGACTTTATCCTGGACCACAGAGGAACAAAAGAATTTTTCTGTAAAGGACCCTACAGTCTGTATTTTAGGCTTTGAAGGCCTTAGCAGGCACATTACTCTGCTGTCTTAACACAAAAGCAATGTAAATACTTGAATGAATTACATTTTTTTTCTTTTGTACACGAATGGTACAGGCATGTCTGTGCATATGTATGTGGAGGTCAGAGGTCAACACTGAGTCTCATCCTCTATCATCTCCACCTTGTTTTTTGAGACAGATGCTCTCGCTGAACTTGGAGTTCACCGATTTGGTTAGACTGGCTGGCAACAAACCCCGGAGATCCTGTTTCCACTTCTTTTAAAAAAAATATTATTTTATGTGTATGAGTGTATTTGCCTGCATGTATGTTAGGTGAACCCATGTCATGCAGTGCCGACAGAGGTCAGAAGAGGGTGCTGGAATCCCTGGAACTGGAGTTACAGACAGTTGTATGTGGGTTCTGGGCTGAACTCAGGTCCTCTGTAAGCAGCCAGTGCTCTTAACCACTGAGCCATCTCTCGAGCCCCCCGACCCCATTTCCACCTTTTAAGCCCTGGAGTTGTGGGTGCATGCTGCTGTGCCCAGGTTGTTACGTGGATACTGGGGCTCAAGCTCAGGTTCACATTCTTGGGTGCCAAGCACTTTATGGACTGAGCTATCTCCTTGGCCCCAAACTAAACTTATACAAAGGCAGCAAGAAGACAATCTGGTCTAAACTGAAGCTCCAAGAACTGATTCCCTGGAGATATTCAACCCACAGAGCTTGACAGGGTCATCTTTTGGGGGGTCAGGGAAACAATATGAGACGGTTATGCAACCCATGCTGTTCTCACTCTATGGAGCTAAGGATGACCTCAAATTCCTAATCCTCCTGCCTCCACTCCTTAAGTGTTAGGAATACAGGCTAGTGCTACCACATGATCTTTTTGTGGTGCTGGTGATGAAAGTCAGGGCTTTGTGCATGCTAAACATGCATTCTACCAACTGAGCTATATATCCCTAGCTCCCAACACAGTTTTTTTAAAAAAGATTTTATTATTTTTAGTTTTTTTAGGTATATAAGTGTATTGCTTCTGTGTGTGCAATGCTCACCAAGGTTAGAAGAGGACCTTGGATGCCCTGGAACCGGAGTTACAGACAGCTGTTAGAAGCCATGTGGGCGCTGGGAATCAAACCCAGGTCTTCTGTAGGAGCAGCCAGTGCTCTTGACAGCTGAACCATCTCTCCAGGCCCCCCAACACAGTTCTTTTTTTTTTGAGTCTTTTTGAGACAGGGTCTCTCTGTAGTCCCAGCTGGCCTAGAACTCGCTATATAGACCAGGCTGGCCTCAAACTCTGCCTCCTGAGTGTTGGGACTAAAGGCATGCGCCACCACACCCAGCCCCAACATAGTTCTTGAATAAGCTACTGAAACTCTTTGGAGCTCAGTCTCGTCACCTTAGAATATACAAATAGAAAAAAGAACAAAACCCCCAGAAAACAGCTTTCCCACAGAACTGCCTGCACAAGCACAGGAGGTAATAAAGGGTTTGGTAGAATGCCTGGCACACTATTCAATAAAGGTACCAACAAGATGGATTTAGAGCCCTGCACCTGTTATCAGTCAGAAGCTCTTCAGTTACTTTTTTCCCTGTGAATTTGTGTCTGTTCCCCATCTTAAAGTTGAGTGTTTTCCGGAGACGTCTTTGTCTTCGGGAACAGTAGCCCCTGCAATGAAACAAAACAAAATTCATTCAGCCAAGCTGGTAGTACATTTTCAGAATATTCTGTAATAAGGTTAGGTCAAAGGTTTGGAGAACTCTGTTTATGGTGACTACAAACATCATGTCACCTGACAAACACCTGCTGAAGTAAAACACGCAGGGGTGTAACCGGCACCATAGGAAATGTGAGATTTTACCAACCGTTAAATCAGAGATAACACACCATCTCATGCACAATATAAAATGATTACACTCTTTCTTCCTTCTTGGTGTTTTGAGTTAGGGTCTTACACTGCAGCCTAAGCAGGTCTAGACCTCACTTGGTAGCCGAGGCTGGCCCCAAACTCATGGTAATTCTCTTGCCTCCATTTTCCAAGTGATTATAGACGTGAGCCACATGCCTGACTTGGAATATTTAAATATTATACCAGAATTTCAACCTTAAAAGCTACCAGGGCTTAGATTACTAAGAAAAGCCAGACATGGTAATGCACATTCAGTACTCTGGAGGTAGAGGTAGAAGGATAAGGAGTTCAAAGCCAAGTTTGACTACATAGCCAGCCTGAACTATATAAAAAACCCAAAACAGGGGCTAGAGAAATGGCTCAGCAGTCAAGAGCACTGGTTGCTCTTGCAGAAGACTTGGGTTTGATTCCCAGCACCCACATGATAGCTCACAATTGTTAAGTCTAGTTTCAGGGGCTCTGATATCCTCTTCTGACCTCCACTGGCATCAGGTATGCAAGTGGTGCATATAGATACATGTCAGCAAACAATCATAGACATAAAATAAAAACAAATGTACAAAAAAAAAAAAAAAGTATGGGGCTGGAGAGATGGCTCAGCAATTAAGAGCACTGACTGCTCTTCCAGAAGACTCATAGGTTCAGTGCCCAGCACCCACATGGCAACTAACAACCACAGTAACTCCAGTTCCAGGGGATCTGATGCCCTCTTCTGACCTCCATGGGCACTGCACAACATGGGTGCACTTACACACATGCAAGCTGGGTGTGGTGGCACATGTCTTTAATCCTAGCACTTGGGAGGCAAAGACAGGCGGATCTCTGTGAGTTCAAGGCCAGCCTGGTCTACATAGTGAGTTCCAGGACAGCTGGGGCTACAAGAAGACCCTGTTTCAAAAAGACAAAAAAATAATAAAAATAAAAAATAAAATAATAATAATAATAATAAAACATTAAAAAAAAAGTACAGCCAAACCTACTGAAACGTATGGAGTGCTAGTGACACTTGGTTATCTCCGAGACTCTGAGATAAGAGGATCTTTTTGGCTCCTTTCTGTAACAATTTATAAATTCCTATGGCTATAAGAGAGTAACAAGGAGCCCAGCGTGGTGGTGACACCTTTGATCCCAGCACTCGGGAGGCAGAAGCAGGCGTATCTCGAGGCCAGCCTAGTCTACGTACTGAATTCCAGATCAGCTGGGGCTACAAGTTGACCCTGTCTCAAAAAGACCAAAAGAAAAAAAAAAGAAAGAAAAACGTGACAAGGACAGAGATCCCGCACCTTGGCTTGGGTGGGGAGACCAATGAGTGAGTATGCGTATATAACCACAATCTTTGTCCAAAGAACTGAGACTTGTGAGTTACATTCAGAATGCAACAAGTCAGTTCAACTTTTGTTGCTGGAAGAAAAAAAAAAGACAGTCTTCTCCGAGCTGTGCTACCGCCTAGATCAGAGCACCCCACTGTTCAGTTGCAGCAGTTGCTATTCCAGACAAATTCAGAACTGCTTAAATCACCAGCATAAGGACAGCAATAAATAAGCATATGTTTACCAGCAACTGTCAGCCAGGAGAGTAACATTTTCATGAAAATCTGTTATGTAAAGAAAAGCCTGCAGTAAAGGACTCCTTGACAATTTCCAAACAGCTCATTCCTATTAAACTATGATGCTCAAGTCACTTGACTTAACACAGTGATTAAGTGCTAACCAAAACAAGAAAAAAGCACATTAAGAAAAAAGAGACCATCCACCACCCACCATTTTCCTCCAGTAAGGGAGCAATCCAGCAAACAAAGGAGCAATCAGGGTTAACTGATGGCCAGATTACATGTTATATGAGAAACAACAATTACCAACGACTCCGCATAGCCTGGCCCCATTTTGAGGATGTACAGGTGCATGTGTGCACCATACACACACTCAAAACATGTTTTCTTGTGACTTCACACCTGCACCTCATACTTTCTCCTCCACAGTAGAACTTCTCGAACTCATGGCCTCTGGTTGCTCTCTTCCTCACCCTTCTCTCTCCTCAAGCTCCTCCACAACTCCCATCAAACTTCCTGTAAGCTCATCAGTAATGCCTAAACTGGGGCCAGTGAGATGGCTCAGCAGGCGAAAGCATTTGCTGTCAAGCTGTATGATCCCAAGTTCAATCCCCAAACCCACATGGTGGAAGGAGAGCACTCCTTCAAGCTGTCCTCTGACATCACATGCCATAGCGAAGCACAAGTTCATACAAACATACAGGCCCACAAAATAAATAAAAAATAAATTAAAGCTGGGAAATTAAAAAGGGGCTGGAGTGGTGCTTCAGTGGTTAACGGCACTTGCTACTCTTCCAGAGGACCTGGCCTTGGCTCCCATCACCCACATGGCAGCTCAAACTTGCCTGTAACTCCAGCTCCAAAACTCTCTATGGGCATCTGCACACACCCACGAGATACATACATAAAAATATATAAAATCTCCGAATAATATGTATATATAATAAAAAAGGAAAAAGAACGCCAAGTGGACTTGCAAGATAACTCAACATGTAAAGGCACTTACCACCAATCCTGATGACCTAAGTATAATCCCCAGGACTATATGGTAGAAAGAGAAAACCAACTCTCTCACACACACAGACACACAGACACAAATAAATGTAATTTAGAAAAAAATGGGGCTGGAGAGATGGCTCAGTGGTTAAGAACACACAGAAGACCAGGTTCAAATCCCAGCACCCACATAGCAGCTAACAACTGTCTGTAACTCCAGTCCCAGGGGATCAGACAGCTTCTTCTGACCTCCAAGGGCACTGCACGACATGGGTGCACTTACCTACATGCAGGCAATACACGCATACACATTAAAAAAAAAAAAAAAAAATCCCAGTACTTGGGAGGTAAAGGCAGGCAGATTTCTGAGTTCAAGACCAGCCTGGTCTACACAGTCAGTTCCAGGCCAGCTGGGGCTACAGGGAGACTCTGTCTCATAAAGACCAAAAAATAAAAATAAAAAAAAGTTTGTGTGGATTACACATATTAGAAGGGACTATTACGAATGTTGGTAAAGTCAGAGACTTGGGTCACGCAGTTCTGTAATCCCAGATACTAGGGAAGCTGAGGCTGGGGGACAGCAAACTCAAGGACTGCCTAGGCTACATGACGTTAGTGAGCCCATCTCAAAATGAAAAATAATGGAAAGGGGCCGGAGAGATGACAAGCAGTTAAGAACACTGGCCGCTGTTGCAGAAGACTCAGGTTTGAATCCAGACACCCACATGGCAGCTAACCCTCTGAAACTACAGTTCCAGATCTGATGCCCTCTTCTGACCTCTGTGGGCACTGCATGACATGGGTGCACTTACATGCAGGCAATACACTCATACACACAAAACAAAAATAAGCTAGGTGGTGTGGCACATGCTTTTAATCCCAGCATCTGGGAGGCAGAGGCAGGTGGATCTCTGGTTCAAGGCCAGCCTGGTTTACATAGTAAGTTCTAGGCCAGGTGGGGCTACTATAGGGAAACCCTGTCTCGAAAAGAAGCCCCCCTCAAAAAAACCCTACAACTGACTTTATAAAAAGAGGGGGTTATGTCAAAGAATACTAGCCAATACAAAGGGCTTTTAAAAAATACTTTATTATTTAATACTTTATTTTTACTTTATTGCACGTGTATGAGTATATTGCATACAGGCATGTATGTGCACCCATGTTGTGCAATGCCTGTGGAGGTCAGAAGAGGGTGTCAGAAGAGGGTGTCGGATCCCCTGGAACTGGAGTTACAGATGGTTGTTAGCCATCATGTGGGTGTTGGGAATTGATCCTGGGTTCTCTGCAAGAGCAACCAGTGCTCTTAACGGCTGAGCCATCTCTCCAGCTCCATTCCAAAAGTTTTTTGTTGTGTGAGACAGGGTCTCACTGTGTAGTCCCGGCTGGCCTGGAACTTACTAGGTAAACCAGGCAGGCCTTGAACTTTGAGAGATTTGCCTGCCTCTGAAATGCTGGGAGTAAAGACAACAGTCACCTTGCCTGGCCTCAAAAGAGGTTTCTATTGGTCAAGTCTGAGTCAATTTAAATAATATTAGATTGACTAGATATGGTGGTACACATCTTTAATCCCAGTAGAGGTGGGTGGATCTGGTCTACAGATCCTAGAGGCCTGCCTAGTCTACATAGGTAGCTAGTTCCAGGCCAGCTGGGGCTACAAAGAAACCCAGTCTCAAAACACAAATAATAATAATAGATCACAAGTCATAAAATTGGACACTATTAGCACATTCAGATACAAATGAATGAATAAAATACAAGTATAATGAAGAATGGGGCATTTACAGAGCTTTTTTAAAAAAATATTATTATTATTTTTTTTGGTCTTTTTGAGACAGGGTCTCCCTATAGCCCCAGCTGTCCTGGAACTATGCAGACCAGGCTGGCCTTGAACTCACAAAGATCAGCCTGCCTCTGCCTCCTGAGTACTGGGACTAAAGGCATGCGCCACCACGCCCGCTTATATTATTTTTTTGGTCTTTTTGAGACAGGGTCTCCCTATAGCCCCAGCTGTCCTGGAACTCACTATGCAGACCAGGCTGGCCTTGAATTCACAGAGATCCAACTGCCTCTGCCTCCCGAGTGCTGGGATTAAAGGCATGCGCCACCACGCCCAGCTTTATTTATTACTTTTATTTTATGTGTATGAGTGTTATGCCTGCATGTAAGTAAGTGTCGTGTAATGCCCGAGAAGGACACAAGAGGTCTTCTGATCCCCTGGAACTGGAGTTACGGACAGTTGTTAGCTGCCATGTGGGTGCTGGGATTTGAACCCAGGTCTTCTGCAAGAACAACCATTGTTCTTAACTGCTGAGCAATCTCTCCAGCCCCTTTCAGAGCTTTTTTAACATTTTATTTATTTTTATTTTATGTGTGTGAGTGTATTGCTTATATGTAGGTTGGTGCATCCGTGTCATGCAGTGTCCACGGAGGTCAGAAGAGAGTGTCAGATCCCCTAGAACTGAAATTATGGATGGTTGTTAGCTGCCATGTGGGTGTTGGGAATCAAACCCGGGTCCTCTGCAAGAGTATTCAGTGCTCTTAACTGCTGAGTCATCTCTCCAGTCCAGAGAGTCTCAGAGTTTTTCCTCATAAAATCCTTAGTAATTACAAAAGGAATGACTTTTCAGGAAAAACCTAGCCAACTCCTTAAACATCAGCTGCTGGATAAAGTGAAACTGTGGGCCTCCACCTAGCACAAGGCAAGCTCAGTATCACTGTGACATTCTTGCCCAAGATCCAGAACCCAAACCTCATCATGAGGAGACAGCAAATAAGCCCAAAGTGAACAGTAGCCTCCAAAACAACTGGCCAAACACCTCTAACAGAGCAAAAACTTGGCAAATTAAGCAAAGGCTAACCTGTAAGCCCAAGTCCCAAGATGAAGAGCTGGACGTAGTGGTACACACCTTTAATTCCAGCACTCGGGAGGCAGAGGCAGGCAGATCTTTGTAAATTCAGGGCCAGCCTGGTCTATATAGCCAGTTCCAGACCAGCCAGGGCTACATAGGGAGACTCTGGTCTCAAAAACAAACAAGATGAAGAATGACAGCCACAGTTGACCTCTGGCCTCTATGGCACTGGTACCTACCTATACCCCCAAACCCACCCACCCACACACCTACCTACACACCCATACATCACCACCTACACACCCCTACCCACACACATACACCTACACACACACACACGCACAATGGTTACGGGGCACTGGCACCTACCTACACACCTACACACCCCCACCCCTAAACACACACACCCCACACCCACACACTCATACACACACAATGGTTACAGGGGCACTGGCACCTACCTACACACACACACACACACACACACACACACACACACACACACAACGGTTACAAGGGTCCATTCAGGTTCTGAAAAACCATACATTTCCTGTATACATTTCTGTTTATAAATTATATTTGAATGAAATTCTAAAACCCTTCAATAAGATGGTTTTACTGGGGCTGGAGAGATGGCTCAGCAATTAAGAACACTGGCTGTTCTTGCAGAAGACCTGGGTTTGAATCCCAGCACCCACATGGCAGCTAACAACTGTCCGTAACTCCAGTTCCAGAGGATCCGACAGCCTCTTCAGTCCTCCGCAGGCACTGCACCACATGGGTGCACTTACCTACATGCAGGCAATATACGCATACACATAAAATAAAAATAATCAATAAAATATTAAAATAAGAAAGAAAGGCAGCAGAACTGAAAGTGTCAGGCCGGGCTTGGCTACACATAAGAAAAGCCAGAAAAGCTGCCGAAGGGCTTAGTGCCTGAAGACGCTTTCTGCCAAGGCTGACAGAGTGGGTTCCATTCCTGGGACCTACACGGTGGAAGCAGAGAAATGACTCCCAGAAGTTGTCCTCTGACCTCCAAACACACATGGTGGCACACACGTATACACATACACACATACACATACACAAATATAATTTTTAAAAAAGAGTATGGGGCTGGAGAGATGGCTCAGCAGTTAAGAGCACTGACTGCTCTTGCAGGGGATCAGGGTTTGAATCCCAGCACCAACATGGTGGCTAACAGTCCATAACTCCAGTTCCAGGGGATCTGACGCGCTCTTCTGACCTCTGCAGGCACTGCCCGAAACAGGTGCACTACATACATGCAGGCACTATACTCATACACACAGAATATTTAATAAATAAATAAAAAGGAAAAATAAATAAAAGGAGAAATAGGTGAGAAAGGTAAATGGAACAAAGGGCAGAGTGGACACTCTGATGGCTGAGCAGTGGATGTACAAGCTTCATTCTACATTTGTGGCTAAAATTTAATTTTCTTTATTATTTTTTTGGTTTTTTTTGAGACAGGGTCTCCCTGTAGCCCCAGCTGTCCTGGAACTCACTATGTAGACCAGGATGGCCTTGAACTCACAGAGATCCGCCTGCCTCTGCCTCCCAAGTGCTGGGACTACAGGCGTGCGCCACCTCTCCTGGGCGACCTTGAACTCTTAACCCTTCTGAGATTATAGGTACCACCATGCTCAGTTCATACTCTACTTTTCAGTTATAATAAATCTGTTTTCGGCTTGAAGTCTGTTACAACCAAGATCAAAGAAATCCACTTAATACAGATAATGTATAAAATACTGAAAAGTATTGACTTGAACCACGACTATACACTCTCTCTATACATAGTTAAGAAATGATTATCAGTCAGGCATACGCATTACCTCACGCCTATAATCCCAGCACCCAGAAGGCATGGACAGGAGAATTGCCAATAGTCTAAGGCCAGTCTGGTCTACATAGTGAATTCCAGACCAGCTGGGACTACATAGTGAGACCATGTCTCAAAAAAACAAAACAAAAAGTTACATATTTTCACTCACTGTGAAACCAATGCTAGAAAAGCTGGGTGTACTTTTTGATACAGCAGAGAAAGCAGGAAAGTAACAAAAGCCAGCTGAGTTAGAAAACACCAGTCGGGGCTGGAGAGATGGCTCAGTGGTTAAGAACACTGGCTGCTCTTACAAAGGACCTAGGTTTGATTCCTAGAACCCACATGGCGGCTAACAGACCTTTCTAACTCCAGTTTTAGGAGGTCCGACACCCTCTTCTGAATGCTGTGGGCTCTGCATGACACAGGTGAGCTTATGTACATGCAAGAAACACACTCATACACATAAAATAAAAATAATAGTTTTTTTTTGGTCTTTTTGAGACAGGGTTTCTCTGTAGCCCCAGCTGCCCTGGAACTCACTATGTAGACCAGGCTGGCCTTGAACTCACAGAGTCCGCCTGCCTCTGCCTCCTGAGTGCTGGGACTAAAGGCGTGTGCCACCATACCCAGCAATAAAGTATTTTTTTAAAAAAGATAAAGAAAACACCAGTCAGCCACACACCTTGCACAGGACACTAACCTGTACCGCTGGAAATCGCCATGCCGTAAGCCATGCTGCTGCTGGGATTCCTTGATGATCTGAAGAACTACAGCCAAGATTAAGGAAAAACCCACAATGGCAACAATCCAAATATGCCCATAGCTCCACTATCTGTGTCTGTGACAAACCACAGCACATTAGGCGCCTGTGAGGTTCCCAGGACATTAACAAGGAGATTCTCCTGTAATCATTTTCAAAAGCTATCTCGTCAAAGGACAAGGCTAAGTTTGCAGAAAAATTAATTGCCTGAACTGTTACTTTTTTTTCAAACAAAATAGGAGGGTACTAACATTAGGAATTGCTGAAACCCAAAAGCTTAAATAAATCTCTGGATTGTAAATACTGATTATAACTGTGGTTGCTTCCACCTGGCCCCACACTGCTCTCATTCAAATAGACTCTGGTTATGACTTGGGCTAACTACACTTCCTATTTGTCTTCTATGCTCGGCAAATTGAACTTTCCTCAACAGTTTTCCATAATGAATGCTTCCAGGGCCTATGATTAGTGCATGTCAATCAAAATAAGTCAGTTTCCATAAAAATAGCCATTTTTCTTTTTAAAAGGATTCATAGTAAAATCGGGCACTCATTTAGAACTATACCACCAAATCAAGCAGTAAAAACCAAAACCTCCCCCGAAAAGGCCAGTTTAGTCCAGTCAGTAAGCTCTAGTTTCAGTGAAACCCTGTCTCAAAAACTACGGTGAACAGAGACTGAGGATGACACTAAATGCTGACTTCTGGCCTCCACACACAGCACCTGCACCCACACCCATGTGTACACACAGACATACACACACAGTGATTCCTCCTCCAGCTTTTGGTGACGATCCCACCAAGATAAACCGCCTACAGACGTATGTGGAAAATTACACAGATTATATCCAAGTACAGGCATTTATATTCAAAACGGGTAAGAAGCTTTTCTTCTGAGTACTCTTGACCTCCACATCTAGCTGCAATTTTCACTAGCCAGTCCACAGTAACTGTCGATCAATAGTATTACCCTGAAACCGCAAGACTGCAGTTTCTTCTCCCCAGTCCAGGGGTCCAAGGCTGAACTGGTCTGCCGGGTGGCTGCCGCGTCAACCCGTGCAAAAGCCCTCTAACTGGCTGTCTCCGGACACCCGCCCGACATTCCTATTCCACCTGGAAGAGAGCGACGCGGTCCGGAAGGCCAGGAGCATGCCGGAGAGAGCGAGGGGCAGACCCTGGACCTGCGATGGGCCTGGCCAGCGCACCGCAAGCCTCGGCCTCCGCGCCCGGAGCCGCCTCTCCCGCCCTCAGCCCTCCGAAGCGACACGTAGTCATTGCGAGTCGGGCCACCGCTCCAGGATACTCTCCAGGCTCAGGCTATCCCCGAACTCCTTGTTCGCCTTCGAGCCGGCTGAAGGGCGCTCGTTCTCTTTATTCTCCTCTCCTCCGGCACCTCGTCCTCCACCGCTCCCGCCGCCGCCGCCACCACCACCACCACCGCCGCCGCCGCCGCCGCCGCCGCCACCGCCACCCGGGACCTGCTTCTCAGCAGCCATCTTGCCCCTGCGCCGCAAAGCAGGACGGGACAGAGGAGGCGAGATGACCGGGGGCGGGACAGAGCGGCACCTGCTCAGCCCGACTGACGGGACTCTGGCGGACTCCACGGTGGACCGCGCCTCCAGAGGCCCAAAGCCGTGTGTTGGAGTGCGCCTGCGCGTCGGCGGGGCTCCAGGGCTGAGAAGCTGGGCGGAGCGGGGCGGGGAGGGGGGGGGGGGGGGGGGCATCCCCTCAGCCCGACTGACGGGACTCTGGCGGACTCCACGGTGGACCGCGCCTCCAGAGGCCCAAAGCCGTGTGTTGGAGTGCGCCTGCGCGTCGGCGGGGCTCCAGGGCTGAGAAGCTGGGCGGAGCGGGGCGGGGAGGTGGGGGGTGGGGGGGGAGCATCCCGAGGTCCCGGCCGACCTGAGGGTAGCCCAGCTCCTGTCCATCAAGGATGGGAGGGCCAGAGAAAGACGCCCGCTTCGGGCATCCCTGTGCCGGGATTGGCTCTCATCCCGCGCATCACGGTGTCCCACGCCTCTGATCTCAGCGCTTGGGAGGCTGAGGCTGGAGGATTGAGGCTGAGGCTGGAGTTCGAGGTCAGCCTGGGCTATATAGTAAGACCGTGTCTCAAAAGAAAGGCGGAAGCCTAAACATTTTGGATTGGGGGTTGCCAATCTTTTACTCTCAAGAGACTCAGATGGGATTTCCACTCTAAAAAACAAGAAGCGCCCCTCTTGTGTGTGACAGCTTCTCTGCCTCTGATAATGAGAAAACACTGATCCCAGCAGCGCTGCAGTCAGAAGGCAGTATCCCCCGGGGGGGGGGGGGGGCTTCCTCAGACTGCTTGGTACCTGTGGCCCTCTCTGGATTGTCCATCGCCAGTCCAAGGACAAAGTCTACGAATCTTTGCAGTTGGGCACCCCCCCCCCAGTCCTGCATCAATTATTGCTGGGACAAAGTGCTGGAAAAATAATTTAATCTCCCTCTGACCTTGTTCTTGCATCTGTGAAACGAGGATAACCACTTAAAGTGACTGTTAAACTAGGCATGGTAGCTCATGCCTATAATCCCAGCATTTGGGAGGCTGAGGCAGGAGGACCCAGAGTTGAAGGCCAGCCTTAGCTACATAGTAAGTTTCAGGCCAGCCTGGGTTAGATGAGACCCTGCCTCAAAAAGACAAACAGAGCTGGGGAAATGGCTCAGAGGGTGAAAGCACTTCCTACATGAGCCTGATCTGAGTTCTGATCCCCAGAATCCATGCAAAGGCCAGATGCAGCATGAGCATTACATTGCACCTGTAATCCCAGCACTCCTCTGGTGAGGTATGGAGACAGGTGAATCCTCCAGAAGCTCAAGGGCCAGCCTAGAGAGAGTGACTCTACCTCAAGAAGGTGGAAGGCAAGAACTAGCTTATGAACGTTGTCCCCTTCCACACACACACTACAGCACAAGCACACCTGCATTCACACACAAAAATAAAACAATGGGCCAGCAAGTTGGCTCTGCAGATAAAAGTGCTTGCCATGCAAGCCTGACAACCTGAGTTGGATACCCAGAACCCACAAAAAAAGGAGAGAACTGATTCCCAAAGGTGTCCTCTGCACCCACACTTATAAACATCATACACATATAAAATAATGGATTAAAATATATATTAAAAACAAAAATTCTAAATATATATCACAGTTAAATGGAAAATATTATGCTGTATAACTTTTGGGTTTTTAAAATATTTTGTTGTTTTATTTTATGTGTATGAGTGTTTTGCCTCATATATGTAAGTACTAACCATTGAGCCATCTCTCCAGCCCCAATGCTGTATAACTTTGGATGGAATATTATTTGGCCATAAAAAGGAAAGATGTACTGATCATCATACAACACAGATGAACCTTAAGAGTATTATGCTTTGGGACTGGAGAGATAGCTCAATGGTTGAGGGCACTGGCTCCTTTTACAGAGGACCCGGGTTCAATTTCCAGCACCCACATGGCGACTAACAACCATCTGTTCCAGGGGATCCCACGCCCTCTTCTGACCTCTGTGGGCATTTCATGACACAGGTGCACTTACATGCAGGCACTACACTCAAACTCATAAAATCAAAATAATAAATAAAATATTTTTAAAAGATATTACGCTCAAGGCCATCCTGGTCTACATAGTGAGTTCCAGGCGAGCTGGGGCTACAGGGAGACCCTGTCTCAAAAAAGACCAAAAAATTTTTTTTTTGTTTTTGATGTTTTGTGGTAAGGACCATTGATCAGTAGCCTAATCTAACCTAGAACTCAGAATTTAGTCCAAATTGGACTCAAAGTCAAAACAATCTTTCTGCCTCCAAAC